AACTTTTTCGGCTGGTACAGAACAGGATGTTAGGGAGATGTGAAATGTGAGCAGGACTGGGGTCACTGCTGGCTGGAGAACGGACAGGGCCACGGGAGGTAGGATGTAAAGAGAGACCCCCCCAACCCGCCAGCAGCCGGCACGGGATGGGCTCTTGGTTCTACAACCACAAGGACCTGAATTCTGCCAACCCCTGGCTGAGCTTGGAAACAGATTCTTCCCCTGAGCCCAAGGCCAACGCCTTAACTCCAGCCTTGTGGCAGCCGAAGCAGAGAACCCGGGGAAGCCTGCCCAGACTCCGGCCTGTGGAACATGAGATCACAAATGGCCGTCATTTCCAGCCAGTAAGTTTGTGGTCGTTTGTTACAGTTGCATGGAAACCAAATACAACAACCCAAACAGTCACACCCCATCTATCTCGCCTGCACCATCTCAGTTATTTCTTCAGGCGCTGACTGACCAAGTGCTTCCAGACAGATCTGGTTGGTCTTAGCTGATCATGAGGACTCCTTCCTTTTGTCAAGAACTGGTTGAGGAACAGGTGTGGGATGTGATCCTGGCTAATGAGAAGCGAGGGGAGGTCTGCCAGGAGGATCTTTGGGAACAGAGAAGTGGAAGGAGGAGGCTATTTTTCTGTCTCTGGATGTGGTGGTGATGCCTGAGGCCATGGCAACTATTTTGTGACCGTGAGGGACCTTTACCGACAGGCCAAGATGAGAGGCTGAGGAAGACAGAGTTGGGCGGTGGAGAGTCGGGTCCTCCCAAATCTCACTGAACTGCTCTCCCCTGACTCATCAGGCAGGGTCATCCCTGTCCCTGTGGTGTAAGCCATTCTGAGTTGAGTTTTCTGGCACTTGCGGCCTAAAGCATGATTGTTGATGAACGGTTCACAACAGAGTTGGGGTTAAATGAGGTTGTGGACGTGAGGTCCTGAGCACAGTGCTTCACTCCGGGCAGGTGCACAGAAACGGTGGCCTCTATTCCTTTGTCAGTGTTGCTCCCCTTCTGCCTCGGGCCTGGGTTAGGCAGGGTTCAACCAGAGAAGTAGGGCTAGTGGGCATGTCCCCCTTTGTCCATGTCCATAGCCACAGTGCCGTCTCAAGGGCTGCATGAGCAGGAAGCGCTCTCTGTGCTGGGGGAGGGTCAGCTCAGCGAGGCTGGAACCCAGAGGAGGGGAGATCACCAATCGCTGGGCACAGTGGGAGCTCTGCCTGTAGGCGGAACTTCTCCGTTTCAGGGAAGCCCTCAGCCTCGCTTTAAGGCCATCAAATGATTAAGCCAGGCTCACCCAGACCCTCCGGGGTGACCTCCTTACTTAAAGTCAACTGGCTATGGGCTCTAATGACATCTGCGGAATGCCTGATGGCAGCTGTAGGCTTCTGTCTGAACTGGGGCTGTAATCAGCTGACTGCAAGGTGGCACATGAGAGACCATCTTGCCCCCGGGGCTCAGCTTTTTCTGGAACAGGTGGAAAGCGTCATTGCCTTTGCTTCTCCCTCCTGAGTGGCCCCTGAGCTTCGGGAAGTGGCAGGGCAGGCCGGACACGCAGGGCCTGGCCAGGGCCCCCGAGGAGCAGGGACCAGAAGGCAGCGGGAGGCCCCGGCGGCTCGCACGCCCGGCTGCCTGGGCTGTGCCGCGTTTCCTGAGCCGAGGCTCGCAGGAAGCAGGGACTCGTGTGTGCAAACAAGAAAACAACAGTAGGAAGAAGAGCCTGGGGCCCTCGGAGGAAGAGCTGAAAATAAGTCACCAGGAGAGGGGGTGCAGACGGGCCTCGGGGCCTAAGTCACCAGGAGGGGAGGGTGCAGACGGGCCTCGGGGACTTGGGGGCCTTCTTGACTGTTCCTAGTCTCTGGTCCCCACCTGAACCCGGGGTGCCACCTGTACTGGGGGAGCGGGTGCAGTGGGGGTGTCTGAGCAGGCCCCCCAGTCCGAGCTACAGTTTCGCTGTGTAACTCATCCGCCAGGTGAACTGAGCCAGCCGCCCTGCTGGGCACGGTCCCTGGGAGACGGGCTCCGTGAAGTTGTCACAAAGTAAGTGAAAGATGAGTCACCTCCCCTCTACGTTACATTAAATAAAATATGAATATAATTATAAATAGAATTTAATATGTAATTTATAAAAGGTATATATAATTTTATAAAATATTTAAATATACTCATTAAAATTAACTTAATAAAGACTATTTTATTATATAATAATATATTATATACTTATATAACTTAATAAATATAATTATATAAGTTAATTTTTAAAGTATGAAAAGGAATTTTTTTAAATAAACGAAGGATGGGAAGGCCAGGAGCCATGAGAGAGGACGGAGGAGCAGGCTGTCTGTGGCGGGGACCTCCAAGGATGTGGCTGTGAATCAGTCAGGAGCCGGTGGGGGTGGCCAGATCAAGAACCCTGTGCCCAACTGGAGTGAGATTTGGGGGTTTGAGGAACAGAGAAGCTGGTGCAGCTGGAGGTGTGCACAGCAAACAGAGTGGGGGAAGCTGGGGCCGGAGTGGGGCCCCATTACTCGGGGCCACTGTCACCCTCAAATTCACACACTGAAGCCCTAACCGCGGGCACCTCAGGTTTTCAAGCTTAAGGCAGTTTGAGTTTGCTTTCAGTCATTAGCAACCAGAATATCCAAGACAAGGTAGCTCTCCCCGCACCCGGAGGAGGCAGACCTGTGTTCTCCACTGCTCCCTGCACAGGACCACCGCCACTGCTTCCGCCCCAGGTTGACCCTGGAGGCTGCGGTGCCCCTCCCTCGGGTCCTCTCGAGTCTCCTTGGCTTGGGTCTGCAGAAGTCATCTGTGCCAGCCAGGCCACGTTAGGGTCTTGGTTCCTCTGGAGCCGCAAGCCGTGTCAGGCCTCTGCCCCGGAACTGGCCGCCCCTCGTGGGTGAGCGGCACATTCTTGCGTGGACGGGACCACCCTAGACGCGGGAGCTGGCCACGTTGCTGGGCCCGGAGGCTTTCTGGAAAACCGTCCACTACACGAAAACTTCCACCACCTGGCTCAGAGGCCCGGACATCTGCTCTTTGTCTTCCTTTTGCTCGGTGCCACACTGCGGCTTCCCGCTTCTTGGGGGTCTCACCTCCAAGAGGGAGGTATGAGGTAGACGCTTGTTGCTTTTGTCTGACCGGCGTCCTTCTGTCTCCTGGTAACAGCGCCCACCCTGCTTGCCCGAGCTGTCCTGCCCCCTGCCTATCCCAGCACCCACCCTTCCAGACTACAGGGGTGAGTGTGTGTGCCAGTCCTGGCCGGCTGGAGCACCCTAGCGTCCTGGTCACAGTGGTGGCCATCACCCAGGCTGCGCCGGGCAGGCAGTGTTCTTCCCTGAACTTCACCTCCAGGCGCTGGGAGGCAGTATGTTGCGTCACTGAATTTCACAAGTTATGGATCTGGGGTCCCTGCCGCATGGAGCAGGGGTGCAGGAAATCAAGCAGGGACAAGCAGAGGCCCAGGACTGAAACGGCCTCACTCGTCCCCGGGCTCCTCTGCCCCTCGGTGACCCTGCCCTGGCTCTTGTGCCGGGTGGACGTCCTCTCGAGGTTTCTGGGCAGGCCTTGTTTTTCTGGATAGAAAAGAACAGATTTCCACTTTCCTTCTGCCTTTAAAAGCGTCGTGGAGGCCACATGTCTGAGGGACATCGCAAAGACCCGTCACAGAGCCCACCCCAGACTTCTGGCTAGGCGTGGACAACGAACCCCGGCGTGTTCCAAGCATGGGTAGGCGAGTTCTCCATGATGGCAGCTGAAGGTACCTCTAACTGATAAGCCTGCCACTGGAGACATCTTCTCAGCTGCCCACAGATGTCATCCCTGTGCAGGGGTGGTGCCCCGCCCACGTGTGAGACTGGCCGGAGCGTGTAACCTGTGGACAGTGTAGCAAGAGACGTCGGGGATGCAGCAAGAAACGGCAGCTGGAATTTGAACTGAGACCTGGGTGCTGTGTCTCTACTAACTCCGGCGGCAATTTCAGGGTGGTGTCCGGGGGATCAAAGGTCTGGCCACCCCCCAGCGAAGGCTTCCTGGGCCCTGTCACGACCCTGAGGAGTCGGGAGGAACCACATTCACCCAGCACCCCTCCTCAGCCTGTGCCCAGTGCAGTCCTTTGCTGAGCTGGGCTCCTGTGGGTCTGTGACTGTGACCGTGGCCCATGTGAGCTTCTCTTCCCCACGACCCCTGAGGTCCTGGCTCGGCCCCCGGCCCACGTGTCTCTGAAGTGCCCACTGCCCATCAGCGCCAGGGTGAAAGCCACACGAGTGTGCTCTGCCTGGCCCAGCACGAGGTGAGGACACCAAGACTCCTTCTGGGTGACCCCTTGCTGGCTCCTCCACCCCGAGGAAGGTCCCCACAGTCAGGCGGCTGCTGCCTCCAGCTCCAAAGTCTGTTTCAACCTGCAAATCCTAAGGTTCTGTCCTTGAGGAAGGCTCTGTCTTAGGGCAGAGGATGGCATGACTGAGGCCCCCCGCTGTGCGGCTGGTGGTCCATCCCTTCTCAGGCACTGGAGGTCAGGCCTCGTCCTCTCTCTCTTGACCCAGAAACAGCCTCCTTGCCTCTCGCCTCTCCTGTCTGAGCTGTCCTCCACAGGCAGCAGGGAGGGTCTCTCCCCGTGCTCACTCGGCTCCCTGCTTCCAGCCCTTCTCTGTCTCCCTTGTTCTCCGGGGTGAAGGCCTGTGCACAGTGCTCAGGACCGTTCACCATCCCCGCCTGCCCTTCCAGCTTCCTCTCCTGCCACTTGCCACTTAAAACCCGCCATCCACAACATGTCTCTCTGTTCCCAAGAGGCACCAAGGCCTTCACACCTCTAAGCCTCTGCACTCACTGCAGCCTGAATCTGCGATGCCTGAGGAAACTCCTACTCATCCTTCAACACCCAGCTCAGATGACACTGTTCTCCCCAGAGGTGCTACTCGCGCCTCCTCCCTGCGGGCCCACACTCTGTGGCTCCGGTAGGGCCCCCACACTCGGCTGACACTGTCCACTCCTTGCTGGAGGTCCCACAGACAGAAGGCTCTCTGGGGCCAGACTCTGTTGATGTTAACACCACCAGCCGCACTACCATTACTCTTTATGGGGGGCACGTGATAAGGGATAAACACAATAATAATCTCCAGTATTCATTAGAAATTTTCTCAAAGTAAGCACTATTCTAGGTGTTTTATACTTGTTAGCATTTTATCTTCAAATACCCTACGAACTGGTAAAATAATTATGATGATGATTAATCTCGTCACCCCCATTTTACAGATGAGGAAACGGAGGCTCCCAGGAGTAAGAACGACTTACGCAGGTCACCACCCCAGAGCTACACCCTCAGCCCCTGCACCGTCTGCTCCCATCTCACTGAACCTCCACCAAGTTCCAGAGGAACAGGGCCACCCCCGCTTCACAGATCAAGCCACTGAGGCTCACAGAGGGAGACGGAACAGCTTGTCCCCACGGTCCTTCAAACCCAGGTCTGGCTGGGCCTCCCTCCTCACCATCTCCAGGGCCCCAGGCAGGGCCTGCGGCGGATGCCAGCCACCACTGTCCCTTTGTGGGCCCTGGGTATTGTCCCCAGGAGAAAGGCCTGGGTTCCCACTAGCGGCCACCCACACACTCAGTTCCGAGGATAATGGAACCCACAAGCAGCCGCCTCCAGCTCCAGACTGTTCCCCTGCCCACTGCCCCCCCGCCCCGTCTGCTCCCCTCCCTCCCCACCCGCTGACTGCTCCTCCACCGCCCATCCCCGGTCAGGCAGGCGGCTGCACTCTGGCAGAAGAAAGGAGGTGGCCTCTGACGGCCTCCCTCTCCCTGCCCCCTCCCTCCCAGCCTTTTCATCCTTCCAGACAACAAAGCCACAGAGGCCAGGCCGGTGGCCCCTCCTCTGCTCCACCTGGGCTGGTTTGCTGTCTTCTGTTCTGAGACTCTGAGCCCAGCCCCTGCCCAGTGGTGCTGGCCCTAGGCCACCTGCCCAGGTGTCCCAAAGACCCAGCTGCTCCTCCCTGGCGCAGAGCAGGGGGTGGCGGGGCAGGCAGATGGCTGAGACCTGGGGCTTCTGGAGACTCCACAGTCACTGAGTCCAGGGCAGCTCCCCTCCAAGCAGCACAGTCTGTCGGACCACTCGGGGCTTGCCTGGTGCTGGAGTCCTGCACGCCTAGGCCTTTTCTGCCAAGGTGGTTTTGTGTTCGGCATCCATGCATGGGCTCACTGGTCTGTTCATTCACCATCTTACTGGGAGCCTTGGGCTGGTCTCTGAGCCCAAAGAAACGCCAAGGGGCAGGAGACTGGTAATAAGGAACCTTTCAAGCCACCTTCCCAGCAAGTTCTGAAACACTGGAACAGGCCCAGGTCAGTGCGGGTGCAGAGGACTGTCGACCACCCCACAGTGCTCAGCAGCCTGGAAGGGCTGACTCTGAGACGAGCCTGCCCTGCGTTTAAGCATGCTTCCTCCTGGGCCCCCACTGCTCAGAGATTCTCCAGTGGCTGCAGATGGGCTATTCCCAGGACAAGAAAGGGGATATGGGCTGTGGATTCCAGAGAGGACCCGGGGCATCTGGGATGCGCTCCCCTGTGATTCTCCTGGGAGGAGCCGAGTTCGACAGAGTTGACTGTGGGTATGTGTATGTTCGGTGGTTATGTGACTGAAGTTTGGCCAATCAGAGCATCACATCCTCCTGGCCCCCTGATAGGTTCAGGGATGAACATATTTCTAAGTGGGTCCACAGAGACCCAGTCTGCACTCCAGTGGGATGGCTCAGATGAGAGAGGATCTGTGTACGAGATGTGGAGCTTTGGATACGTAATTGCCCCAAGGCTGCCAGGGGAGAGAGCTTGTCTGAGAGTGAAGTACAGCTTCCATGTCTGAAGGTCACTGTTTGAGGACCTGGATCCAGCCATGCCCGAAGCTGGAAATACCTAGACTTTACTAAGAGCCAACTTCTTCTATACCCAAGTCAGTCTGAGTCAGGCTTTCTGGCACTCATCTAAGAGACCTGGCTGAATAGGAAGAAAGACAACTGGAGATAAAGGCGGAGAGTGGCTGGGTGTAGTTTGGGAGAAGTGACAGGGAAACACTCTAGTTGGATGGCAGTGTTAAATGGTGTTTTATGAATGACGATGTCAAATATTCCACTTGAAACTATTTGCATCATGGCAGCGTAACCCACGTCTTCCCCTCTGGCTCCTCAGTCAGGTCTACTACAGATACACAGAAGTGATGAATCAGCTATAGCCATTTGAAAGAACACAGAGCCAAGGTCAAACACTGGAAGGGGAGATGCCCGGCCTGTGTGAGGGGCAGGCGATGGAGCTGAAATGCCCACGAGGGGTCAGGACCGAGGTTCTGATGTCACAAGTAGGGACAGGGTCATAAGACCCTGTGTGGTGAGTTAGGAGGAGGCCCCCTGCACGAAGCCAGGGGCCGGCCAGGGAGGGGCTGTCTCGTCCATGAACAGAGGTGAGAAAACCCCACTTACTGGCCTTGGGATGTTGTCCTTAGGGAAGGACCTCAACCTGCAGGTAGGAAACTCTGAGCTAAGAAATGAACCGAAAAATCAGCCCAGAATCAGGCCCCGGTGGTGGCAGAGGACGAACTCCATGCCCAGGATCATGGCTTCTGCCAAAGATGGGCTCACAGTCGGCAGCCACAAAGCATGCTGGGAACTTGACACCCTGGAGGAAAGAGCTTGGCAAGCTGGGGACCGCAGCGATCCCAGAGAGACTGCCCGAGGAGAGGCTTACCTGGGAAAAAGGTAAGGGGCAGGGTGGAGCCCACAACAAAGGACTGAGTTGGGGGAAAAAGAACTAAACAGGAGTTGGAGAAATGAGGAAGAGAGTGGCTGGGATTCCATTTGAGCAGGTGGTGGAGAAAGGGAAGGATGCCTGGTTTGGAGGAGCTGGGAAACTCCGCTCAGGCCTGGATTCGCTGAGCTTGCCTGCGTGACTCGGAGAATCTCCCCCATCCCGGGGCTCTGTTTCCTCATTTGAAAACTGGTGGTCCAGCACCAACCTGAGTGTTCTCAGACCGCAGTGACAGCTTTGAAGGCTGGGAGATGCAGGAAAAGTGGGAGTCACTCATTCTAACCAAACGGCTTCGAGCTGTCACCCCCAGGGGGGATTTCAGTCACTGCACTTTTTTTCTCCCCCAGACACATCTGCAGAGCACCTGGAGGCATTCCAGAGTAATGTCCTTAAGAGGACTTGCTGGGCCTCCAGGCTCTGGGGTGTGGGGCCTCTCCTACCCACGGGTTCCTCCAGACTGCAGGCCCAAGGGTCCAGCTGTGGAGGGAGGGGGTTCAGCTCAGCCCTCAGGGGACTGAGTTGCCAGCACTTGTCATGCAAAAGCAGAGGTGACAAGGTAGCCCACAGCCCGCTCCAGCCAGTCAGGTGTTCTGCAGATGTTTCTGGGGTGGGGGAGTCCAGGAGGGCCTGTTACTTACCAGTGGGGCCATACTGGCAAGTTGCTTCCTCCCTGGGGCTGGGCAAGGTTGAGGGGCACGTTTTTATAGGGGCAGGGAAACAGGTGACTGACCATCATCTGATCACTGTGTGACCTTCACAGGGTGTCACTCTCTGGCCCTTGGTTTCCTCATTCACTGGCCATCTCCTTTGGAACCTCTTCACTATCAGCTCTCTCTGTCCTTCCTAAGAGAGCCCCAGTGCTGTCTGGGGGCATCCACATGACCAGACCCTCTTGCAGGCAGGAGCAGCCACGTGACACAAGCTAGTCAAGCTGACGGAGGTGAAAGTTCCAGTGGAGAAGAGGGATCTCTCCCTGGAGACAAAGGCAAAGCGCACTAGAAGATTCTTCCCACCACCACCGTCACCGGTTCTTTTATGCCTGGACAGCAGATGTGAGGCCTGGAGGCACAGCAGCCATCTTATAATCGTGAGTCAACAACAAAAAAGGTAACGTGGAAAGACAGAACATGGGCTGAGGGGGCAGGCAGACCTTCTCCACTTCCTGGCTGTGTGGCCTCAGAGCCTCACTTCCCACAACCTATCAGATGGCAATGAAAACCCCTCCCTCGCACAGTCCTTGCGGGGACTGAACAGGCGCTGGGTGTGAACCCAGCCCGCAGTGCAAAGAGCCAGCCCCGTGTTTGTAGTCACTTCTATAGCCATCCTGTAAAGGACAGTTAGTTTAGGGCGAAAGAAAGAAGAGACCCTTTATTTCTCTTCTTGGGGAAAGTTCCTCAGCTGGACACCGGCCTCAAGCCAGTGCGCCCCACTCTTCATCCGATCAGCTATGCAAACAGGAAGTGACTGTCCAAACATTTGGAGCTGCAGGAGGCTGGCCCAGGGTGGGCCTCCTCCCTCCGCTGCTGTGCCGTCTCATCTCCCAGCTGGGAGCGCCTCAGAAGTCAAGGGCACGGTCCCTCCTGGGAGGAACGAGGTTCAAAGCCACCCCTTCTGACTGCCCTGCCCACCAGGCTGGGCCAGACCACCTTCCTCCCAGGCTGGAGGCGGACAACAGCCTCTCTGCAGGCTCCCACTGTCTCCTGCCCTTCTCTCTGTCACGACTGGAGCCAGAGTGATTTTTTTTTTTCAATGCAAGTCTGTTCCTGTCACCCTTTTGCTTAGAACTTTTTTCTAGGGCTTCATTCTCTCTTGAAGGAAAGGCTAAAGTCCTTGCCACGGCCTTTGGGGTTGGCCTGGCCTCCCCAGGTCTCCCCCTCCAGCTGCTCTTTTAGTTTCTGGACGGTGCCAAGGTCCCTCTGCCTCTGTGCTCGTTCCACATCATTCCCGTCTTCCAGCACGTACTCCCCCTCCCTGGCCCATCTTGCCAGGTGACATCCCTCCCTCCGCGTTCTGCCCGAGTGTCAGGTCTTCATGTGCTGGGGAGGCTCCTGCCCATCCCCCATAGCGCTCATCCAGCCTGCTGCTCACGTGGCAACTTCATGTGGTCACGAGTGGCTGCCTGGGGAAAGGATTTCAGGATTTCCCCCCGCCCCGGGATGTTTTGTTCACAGTTACGTCCTTAGTGCCCGACACAGCACCAAGCTGGTGCTCAGTAAATGTGGAAGGCAGGCAGCCCAAGGGCCTTGCAATTTGAAAGCGAGAGGGAGCTTTGCTTACTGAGGACTTAAGTGTGTGGGGCAGGACCTCACTGCCTCTTTACAGCCATCCTGGCAGGCAGGGACTCCAAGCTGCGTCTGTCAGAGGCCCTGCCTTGGTCCCGAGCCCAGCTTCCTCTGTCGGTGGAGCTAACACAAGGGATCACTGCGCATCTGTTTCCTCATCTGTAGAATGGGGCCATAACGCTACCTACCTCCAAGGGCTGGTGGTTGTGAGGCTTCCGTGAGTTAAGTCGGGAAGGTGCTTAGCTCAGAGCCTGGCACACATTAGGTGCTCAGTAATTGTTAGCAGTTGTTGTTATTACATTGATCACATCCAAAAACAAGAATAACTATATCCTGTCGCAGTCTGAATAGGCAAGTGGAGGGACTTCATGGGTGAACAGGCGCATGGATGGATAGATGGTGGATAGGTGGGTGGATGGATACGTGAGCACATGAACAACCAGGGGACCACGAGAACAAGCTGGGGGACAGAAAGCACGCCTGACATTTGGGAGAACGGGAGGTGATCTTGGGCACCCGGGTCGCCTGCTCACCTGTAGCGCCGCAGCTCGTCCTCCAGCCGCCGCACCCAGCGCTGCAGGCC